TTTTGTGGTGTTGGAGGTGGTGGCAGTGCTACTTGCTGAGGTGGGCAGTGTTGGTGTGGGTGTAGTTGTGGTGGTTGTGCCTTCTGTTGGGGGAGGAGAGGTCTTTATGGTGCTGGCCCTGCTGGTGGTCGTGAGGATGGTTCTGCCTTGTGTTGTTGGGGCAGTGGCACTGGGGATAACCATGGTGCCAATGGCGGTTCTAGTTGCTGATGGTGAGATGGTGGAGGCAGTAGTGGGTGATGTTGAAGGCTGTGTTGCCACCGTGGGGGGGTGGGTTGGAGGAGGCCTGGGTGTGGGGGGGGAGACGTCCCGGTGGTGGTGGCCCTGGTGATGGTTGCGATGGTGGTTGTGCCTTGTATTGGTTTTGTGGTGCCAGCAGTGGTTGTCATTACTGATGGTGGGATGGTGGAGGCAGTAGTGGGTGATGTTGGAGACTGTGTTGCCACAGTGGAGTTGTGTGTTGGAGCATATGTGACAGTGGTCACTGTGGTGCTTCCTGCAGTGGTCCTGGAGGTGCTGGCAGTGCTAGTGGGTGAGGTGGGCACTGTTGGTGTGGGTGTGGTTGTGGTGATTGTGTCTTCTCTTGGAGGGGTAGAAGTCTCTGTGTTGCTGGTCCTGCTGGTGTTTATGAAAATTGTCGTGCCTTGTGTTGGCGGGGCAGTGGTAGTGGAGATCACCATGGTGCCAGCGGTGGTTGTCATTGTTGATGGTGGGATGGTGGAGGCAGTAGTGGGGGGTGTTGGGGGGTGGGTTTGCGCTCTGGGGGGTGGAGGAGATGTGGCTGTGGTGGTTGTGGTTCTTCTTGCGGTGGTCCTGGAGGTGCTGGCAGTGGTGCTCGCTGAGGTGGTCACTGTTGGCATGGGTGTGGTTGTGGTGTTTTTTCCTTGTGTTGGAGGGGCAGTGGTCTTGGTGGTGCTGTCCCAGCTGGTGGTTGTGACGATGGTTGTGACTTTTGTTGGTGGGGTAGTGGTACTGGGAATATCCGTGGTGCTAGCGATGGTATTTGTTGTTGATGGTAGGATGGTGTAGGCAGTAGTGGATGATGTTGGAATTTGGGTTGCTGTTGTGATTGTTTGTGCTAGAGCTGATGTGGTCTTGTATCCTGTTGTTGAGATTTGTGATGTCTTTGCTGTAGCTGAAGTTGCAGTCAGTGGTGTGGTGCTTTCTGTATCTTTCGGTGGTGTTGTGGATACTTCAGTTTTTTGCGGTACAGTTTCTTTTTTGACAGTTGTTTTTGTCTTCGTCTGTAACGTAAATTGTGTTGGTTTTACAGTACTAATTGTTGTGAATTCTTTTGTGGTGATTGGTGTTGTAGTTTGTATCTTTGAACATGGTATGTAGCTGCAGCATAATATTCTGATTTCATAATTATAGCACAGCATAGATTGTTGGTCTTTGTTATTGCATATTAATCCTCTGCTTTGACTGCATTGTACCGTTTGGTTAAGACTGGATATTTCAGTTTCTGGGTGTTCTTTGGCTCTGCATTGAACACCATCTGCATTTTTGCACACACTGTATCCTTTATCTCTGAGATTTTCAAATGTTTCATAATCTCCACTGTCCGTTTTGTTTTCAGGCTGTGTGCAGTCATACCATTCTGACCATGCACACACACTCTTCACACATACAGTTGGCACTGGTGTTGCGGTTGTCATTTCTGTAATTAAAAAGGAGGAAATGTAAGTCTTGTCTGTTCTTATTAAAGAAAGTGCCAGGAAAAAACTATTCATGTTCCATAGATTTTAATGTTGTATGTGTTAGTATGGTATTTTAATTTTAATGAACTTGTTTTGGCAGTCTTAATTTCATTTCTAAGATGGCTTTTGATCTCATGCCTGTATTCTTTTTTCTAGTGGTACTTTATATGAGATTTATTTAAAAGTTGTAGTTAAATGTAGCTAATATGATATCCTTTGTGTGGAATGTCAATATCTAGAATAATGTGATCTCACGATTGCTATGGTATAAGTAAGAGGAGGGTTTAGTCTCTTTACTATTATCTCTGTCCTTAAACTTAACTGCATAGCCATGCAGGCTTTAAAATATTTTTACAGGTAAATTACTTTTCTTCTTATTTTAATATTATAACATGTAATATATTAATAAATACAAAAGATAAAATAGATATTTAACAGATATGTATTTTATGTATAATACATTATAATATAGAATACGCACGTACAATATATATGAAATATACAATCTAATAAGTATTTTCTATTTATTTTAGTAAGATTTCTTTGCATACTCTTAGCATTATGAAGATAGCCATGTGGAATTTATATCACTTTCTTCATATGAATTTTACTTAATAGAAGACTTAGAGTTGAATATTTAGTTCTTGCTGTAGCATTGTATAATTTTGTGGAAATATTTCTCGCAATTTCTCACAATTACATGTTCAGTATAATGAATTAACTGCAGGAATAATGTAGAAGTGTACTTCAGCAGTAGAAGGAAACTGTTGATTTGGTTATTAAATACAATTAGGAAAGGTTCCAAAGAAAGGTTTTAAATAATTTGAGCATTCTGTCAAAGCAGATATCTTATCTTTAGTTTGCACCCATATAGTAAATAATTTTTAAAATGGCAGTAATTGTCTTTTGTGTTTTCAGAAGTTGGTTTAGAACCACGAAGTTTTGTTTGCAAGGATATGAGGAGATTCTCCAGGGTGCAATGATTAATAAGCTCTATTATTTTTTTCCCCTTGAAAAACCATGGTGAAACAGTGGAGACTGAGTTTGTCAGAAATGCTGTACTCACTTCTACGTCCTTGATTATCATTATCTTTGCCAACTGAAGCTGCCAGATGGATTGGTGGCTCCAGCAGAAGTCGACAGTTTCAAGTGAAATGATATGCCATTAACTGATGAAAGAACTCTCCCTTTCAGGCAATTTGCTGTCCCTTTCTGAGATTTTTCTGTAATTTGAAAGAGTATTCATGCATACCTGAATCAGTAGTTGTGGGCTGACTTGTAGAAAATGTAAATGGTATTGTTGTTGTTAATACGTCACATTTAAAGATATTTCTGTTTATTGTTCCATTGACGTCGCATGTTGCACTGAAACACCATCCAGTTCCATCTGTGGTATTGTAGATGAGTTCACCGTATTTATAGCTGTTCCCTTCATAAATGCAGTGGCATGCTATAATGCAGAAGAAATTCATTGTCAAGCATCTGTGAAATGATAATATCCAGTATTTCTTTTTTTTAATAATTCTTCTTAGCTGTCTTACCTCTATCATCAAACTTGCACTGTAAACCTTCTGATGTGCATTCACTGAAATAAAAAACATAAAAACCCCATATATTTTTGGATTATGAGGTAATTTTATTAGTCATCTTTCTGCCAGATGCGAACATCAAAAGACAGGACACTTTGTGTTTGTTCCTTGAGTGTCCAGTTCATGTTGGCTTGTTTTTTGCCATTGTTTTCCAAAATCTTTCTTTATATTAAACCCAAACTTATAAACAGAAGTTAAGCTAAATATTATGTAAAGCTACATACAGAAGTCTTAAAAAACACTTTTCTTCTTTCCTCCTTGTCACTTTCCTTGCACCTGCAATGTTTTTGTTCTAAAAGTCAGGCTCCTTGAGTGTCCAGTTCATGTTGGCTTGTTTTTTGCCATTGTTTTCCAAAATCTTTCTTTATATTAAACCCAAACTTATAAACAGAAGTTAAGCTAAATATTATGTAAAGCTACATACAGAAGTCTTAAAAAACACTTTTCTTCTTTCCTCCTTGTCACTTTCCT